CGTGTATTTTGTATGTATTTAGAAGATGACTTTGTTTGAAATTTAAATTCCTTATATTTCTATTTGTATTAAAACAGATTTCTGAGGTACGTGTGTGGGATGGCAGGATATAGAGAATGGGGTATATAGAATAAATGAATACATTTCTGAAATTTAAATTTTGTGGTCTAATGTGTTTTCTATATATATTCTGTCTATAATGATTGATTTACCTTCTGTATATTTGTTGTGTTTTTTTTTTTATGTCGTATGTACATAATATGAGTATATCTTATGTATATAATCCTTATCGTGTATTTTGCATGCATTTAGTGTTGCCGTTGTTTGAAATTTAAATTCCTTATATTTCTATTTGTATTAAAACAGATTCCTAATTTGTAGGATATATAAACTTACCATATATTTATATATATATATAATATATATATATATATATTATATATATATATATATTAATGTAGAAATCGATATCCTCTCTCTCTCTCTATATATATATATATATTAATGTAAACATACCATACATTTTTTTTGTTAATGTGAATCTAAAATCATATAACGTGCATAATTTAAGGAGAGTAGCTCTTGATTTTTTGGTATCAAATATCCTGCATACTTACCATTAATAAAACCTAATAAATTTTACCTATGTGCCAAACCATTAACTAACATCTAATAAATAAAACTAAATTTTTTATGTGACATTAATCAACCATATCCCATTAATATTTTATTACACTTTTTGTTTTTGTTAATTAAGACAAAAAAATCAAGTAACTCCACTTTCTCCTGTGCTCTAATCCCCAGTCTCTTACATCGTCGTCTTCTTCATTTAACTGTCCGCCTTTTACCAGCGGGGAGTTCTGCTTGCCTTGCCGCAATCGTCGCAGGTCAGAGCCCCCGACCTCTCGCTATGGTAGGGATTTTTGCGGCCGATTGAAGCTTGGTCGGGCTGCGACGCTCTGGCGGGTCTTCAGGTTGTAAGGTCTCCTATTCTCGAAGGCGGAGCCTGGGCGGCATATTCCGACTTCCTCCGAGTAGAGGTTGGTGTAGATGTTGGTTCCCTTTTCCCCACTTGTCTTGCTTACCTGGTGTTGGTAAGGTTGGCCTTGCTGGTTGGATTTGGCCATGGCCGGTGGCGGCAAGACAGTTGCCGTCGGTGGTATTGGCTCTTGGCTGCTCGAACACAACCTATTGTTGCACCTCCTATGTCTTCTGCCCCAGAGAATGTGGACGACTTCCATGCCCGGTTTTTGCCCCTTTTTAGGTGATGTTTCTGGGCTCAAGACATCGACTTCTTGGGTGAGGATTTGGTCCTGGTGTGGTATCGGGGGCGTGGCACGGCTTGGGCGGCTTGCTGCGGTTTCGTGGTGGTGGTTGGAGCTGTGGCACCTTTTTTCCCTTTATCCTCTATGCTCTGGTGTAGGTCAGGGGGGTGTTCTATCTTCTGGCTAGTGGTGTTAGCCAAAGCAGGGAAGTGGTGGTGTGGAGGGCGGTTTGGTTGTTCCGGTGGCTGGGAGGCAGCCACACCGATGGTGATGGTCGAGGGCACTAGTTGTCGGCTAACTTCGTGTTGTCGGTAGGTGGGGTGGTGTGAATTTGGGAATGATCTTTGTTGACTGGTTCGTGGGTAACTACCTCGGTGAGTTTCCGGCCCTGAGTATTGGATCTTGTTAGGCATTTTCTGTAGTTTTAGGTCTCGGTTCTTGGCTTGGTCTGCTTTCCATTTTTGGGAGCTCTCGGTAGCCGTGGCGGGGTTGTTGTGGAACTTTTTCCTGTTGCGGAGGAGGACTCTTGTTTTAGTGCTTTGTTTTGTTTTATGTGTATTATTTTTTTTGCTTGCCTTGTGTTGTTTGGTCTTGTGTTTTTTGTTTGGGCTGTAAGCCTCTAGTATGAGCCCGAGCGTGAGCGGGTATTATCCCTATGGGATTGCTTATTCTCCTTTTGGGAGCTTTGTAGTTTTTTGGAGTGTCTGTCATGTCGTGTGTTGTGTTTTGGTTTCTACCATTGCTAGTGTCAGTTCTAGGCGATCTTTGGATATGTTCTTCCAGTTTTTTCAACTGTTAGTTGTACCATTCAACTAGGGATTGTATCTTTGCACATTTGTGCGTTTTTATCTATAAAATTTTCTATCTTTCCGAAAAAAAAATTAAGACAAAAAATCGTTATGTTTTATGTAAACTGAGTAATTAATGATTATATTTTTATTATATAATAATTATTATTAAAATTAATAATTATATTTTTTAAATGATACATAAAAGTTACAAAATATAAAAGATTAATATTGCAAAAACCTTTTGTTCAAGTTATTTATTTTAAAAAAATCAATATTATATTCTTTTATCAGATTAAGGCGGTTGTTTCTTTAAATAAACTATTTTTTAATATCATCGTAAAATTTCTTAAAATCGCACAAGCAATTGTAATAATAAAATTTAATATTTTTCAACTAATTAATTGGTTATGATCATTGAAAATTAAAAAATCACATTATTTATTATATTTTATGCAATCAATATAGTGATTCAAATTCAATCAAATCGTCATGTACTATTTATTTTAACTAGTGAACAAATTTTAAATACATAATATTATTATCTAACTTACAATTTAAATATTATATGCATAAATATAACTTATAATACTCTATGTTTATTATCTAACTTATAATTTTAATATTATGCATACAACTAACTTATAATATTTATTTACATCTGTGCAAATGTAGATGATCGAATACTAGTATGGTTAACAACTCGACAGGAATTTAGTTAGGAATCCGAATTCAAATTTGAAATTCAAAATCCACCAGAGTGAAAAACGACCAACATACATTCTTCTGTGTTCATGAACAAAGTAGCATAAAAAAAAATATAAGGCATATAAACTCAAATAATCGTATAAATTTATGGTATATATGAGATTCGTGATCACATAAATCATAGTGTCGCTTTTTTTTTTTTGTCATTTTGGTGTGTTATTCTTTGTATTTGTTTTTTTAGCAAATGGTGTGTTATTCTTTGTATTTGTTTTTTTGGCAAATACTCTCCCAAGATGATATCCATTCATCTTCGGAAGTGGGGAGTCGGTTCGATGTTCCTTCAGTTGGGGGCGGGTCGAGTTTGGGTTTGATTCGGGGCTCGAGTTCGACTTCTGTATAGGCGGTTCAACAATTTTGAAAGCGGTTTCTTGGGCTTAAGATCTCTCTTTGGAGTCGACTGTTTATCTGCTGGTTCGGCCTGGTTGATCTGCTGTGGAAGGACTCTCTTTTAGTTTTTTTTTATGGTTTTTGTTTTTGTTGCTTGGTTAGGAGTCGTATTTTTGGTTTGGGTGTTGACCTATGTGAACCTGAGTGTGAGCGGGTATTATCATGTTGGGATCGTTTTAGTCTCATGTTTGGGAGTTCGTAGTTTTTTTTTTCATTTTCTTTTATGGTTTGTGTTGTCGTGAGTGTGTTCTTCTAACGTTCCTAGATTACGCTCTAGGCAATCTTCGGGTCTGTCATCCCAGTCATTTCAGCCTTGAGTTGTATCTTTCAGCTTTTAGCTGTTTTGTTTTTCGCACTATGTGCCATTTTAGTTATATACAATCTCTATCGTTTGGAAAAATAAAACATTCATTCATCTAATTTCAGTTTATGTTGCGTTTTATAGTCATTATATGTTGCGTTAATATTTACATAACTTTACCAACTCAAATGTCATCTTAAACAACAATTGGACAAACATCACTGGATAAATTGATGTTTGGTCTATCTCTTTATTTAACAACAGTACCATCAAAAGTATACTAATATCCCAAACATAAATTATAAATTATTTCTACATGTTTATTTGTAAACTAATTTTTTTTCCTGTAATTGCATATATCTAGTTTATTTTCAGTTTATTATATGTGTATAAACCAATACAATAATACATAAAGTATGAATTAACATCAAGTAATCGGAATCACCCTTATTTTCCACATCGGTTCAGCAAAAAACCTGTTAATATACCAAACATAAACTGCGAATAAACATCATATAAACATTGAAAAATGAATTATTTGCATTGCTGTAGCACTTCACGTCGTAGTCGTGTTTGTAGTCGTCGAACCACGAGCCGTTTGTACACGTTGTCGTCCAGGTGGAACGATTAACCTGAAAAAGCCCACTACCATCCTCGATCGAAGTCTTTGTGGCTGACCTTCACTGACAGCACTGCACCGGTACTCCGACTGGGCGGTCACCGTCCGATCGACCCTCCGCCTTTCGAATCGTTGTATCGGACGACTACCGATCACTCGCAGCTCACCGTACAACCAATGAATGTTCAGTTCGGGAGATTGACGTTCCACCGTTGAAGCGCGTCCGCCAGCCTCCATCAGTTTGCGCCGCTGCTCAGAAGAAAACTGTTGTAACGTCACTAAGATTGTGTCGACGAAAACATATATTGAAAATATACTGCATATACACACAACATATACTTTCGACATCTCCACGAGCCCGAGTTTCGGGCCTCTCATTCGTCATCTCTAACTTGACCTCCCCGCTGGGAATGAGGAGGGAATGGAGCAGCCGCTGGAACCCATCGTTGTCTCTTCAGAAAATGATTTCGAGTCGAGCTCGAACGATTTGTACTTTTTTATTAAGTCGAGCTCGAGCCTCATAAATCGAGCCCGACGAGCTCGAGCAGCTAAAACGTAAAACCAATCCAGCTCGATAAGGACAATGTTCGACTCGACTCAACTCGTTTGTTGTCAATAATTAATTGTAATTATGTATTTTATTTTCCAAACACTATTTAAAAAAAAAAAAAAAAAAAACTCACACAACTTCAATAACAAAAAACGTGTTGTAAGGTAAAATTTTCGTAAATTAAGTACCACATTAGTGTTACTCTTCTTTTCCGAACGTCAAATTCGAAATCCGATCGCGGCATCCTCAATCGCAATTTCGCGGCGGATGTTCTACGTTCATCTGCAGACGCTGGGGACGGCGGAGAAAGTAGATAAAGAAGATGATAACGCGATCGAAGCTGGCGGAGCAGCTCAGGGAGTATCAGATTAGATCCAAATATGACTGGTCTTCCGTTTCTTTGTTCTCCTCCACCTCTAATCTCTCCTCGTCTAGGTACTTTGATGTTATATTTTCGATTCTTATTGTGTTTCACGCAGTATTCGTTTATAATTTCTTTCTTGATGTTTGTTTAGGTTCATTTGTTTGAGGATTTTATTAATTTTCTGTGCTTTGATGGAACATTCTGTGCCTTTTGGTTGTTGCAGTAAAGTTGGATAGTTTGTGGGTTTAACGTGGTGTGTGCATATTGAATGAGATTAAGGAATTTCGAAACTATTCCATTAGAATGAAGTTTGAATGATATTAGGTTTGAGTTTTTCAACGATTTTGTTTTATCTTTTGGGAAAGACATCTGGAGATGTATATGATTCGGAGATTCATAAAACATCGTAAAACAATTTGCACTATGGCGCTGTTGGTTGCTTTGGTGAGGTTGTTCTACTTTAAGGATGATATTCCAAGTATTGAGAATTTAATCATGTTTCGTCGCGTTTGTACTGGAATGGGTTATCTGTACAAATATGTGAAGATCCACAAATCTTAGATGCTACAAGTCCGTGCAGATTCACGGATTAGAATGCTATTGAAATATGTCAGTACTGAATGATAAGGGGTAAAGAAAAGGTAAAATGAATCTGCAGGCTCGAGTGGTTGTTGCTAAATGTTGCATTAGTCATCACAATTTTATTAATTTTGTTCACAATATTGAGCATTTACATATGTTCCAGCATTGGTTTTATTTGTTAAAGGGAACTTATAGAATTTGTAGAAATAGACCCGCTGTACTTGTAGTTATTGGGTAGTTTATAGTGTTCATCAGACGATTGGTTAATATTTATCACACGTATTATGATTAATATTAACTGAGCCCAGTATTATTGTAGGACACCAGTAGAAAAGTCTGAAATTCACTCCAAGTCAAATGAATTGAATTTAGTGAATGGAACTATTTGGATTTTAGAAGTTTTAATGGTAATAGTTCATAGAATGATTGAACTAGACAACTTTATTGTGGTGACCTTCTAGCTGTTTTACATTGTAATTTCTTTGTATTTGTACTAGCAAGTGGGGTGCTTAGCCTGTTATTTCACGAGATTGATTCAAGCATTTATATTTTCAATGTGTGCATATCCCGATTGAGATCTTAATTGTTTTTTTCTTCCGCTACAATTCCATCTTTTCACCATATTTTCTGATATATTATTTTCACCATATTTTCTAAGTTATTTTCTTGGCAATTATATCATTCACGCCCAACATGTTTACTATTTATGGTTTGCAGGGTTGATGTTGCGATCTTTGTCATATGGGAGCTTGTTATTTTAGCGTTCTTCGTGTTCGCAACTGTCTCATTATACTTTCGGCATTTTAGGCTTGCTATTATTTTATTATCGGTTGCGCTACTTTTGTTTTTGGGCATGAAAATTACCAAACAAGTAAGGCTAGCTCGGAAGAAGCAGCGAAGGATGCTTCTTCCATTATCCATGTAGATGTCAGTGTACTCTCAACGTCTTACGAGCAAGTCAGCCTTTCCCATGTAGATTGTGAGAGTTCTTGGCCGTTTACAAACAGTCAGTTTATTTTCTCTTTTGTTAAGGTAAATGTAATTACATTTGACCCTAGAAGATTCGAAGCTGTTATTTGTTTGTAATTTATATGACTCCATAACACAATCATAGTAGTAGTTATTTTGTAGGAAAGGTCAACGTTCTAATTCGACAAACCTATTGGTTACCTATTTTGTATTTATTTGGTTGCTTTTGCAAGTCTTAATTTTTCTCGACTTGCTGTCCAGTTAATCAGCTGTCTACCATCAATGTTCTCAAACAAGCAACCTATCTATTTATTACATGAAATTTGCGCACTTCTTCCAGAAACAACTATTTCGGGCTTATGTTCTGTATTTACAAACATCTCCACTCATTGTGGCCTGAAGAAGTGAATCGAAATTCCCTGTGCTGCTATAGCCCAAATTGCACCAATGACCACCAGAACACTCAGAACAATCCCAAGAGACCCAAGGGCCCAATTCAGCCACCACATGGAGCTAAACTTTTTGGGCTTCTTTATCCTGGCCCACATGAAGCAGGGATATGCTAGGGTGACAGGCAAGGCCACCCCTCCTATCAATGCAGCCAGGCTTTTCAGGAAAGGGAATGCAATCGAGATGAAGAACGTGAGGCTGCCGAAAAATATTCTTATCCCCATTCTGAGCCACCTGGGGCAAGGCCCATTTTTGGTGCTGGTATATCTGAACTCGAGGTTATCAAATACTGGCATAGCGTATATCTGGAATGAGGTGAGACTGTTGACCACTATAAGTAGGCTCGTCAACCCAAGGATTGACTTTGGTGTGTCGTTCCTGTGGTATTTGTCTATTGCGCTTAGCAGACCTCCATCTGTTGGTATCTGAAAGAATTCAAATGTCATCAAACATTTAGTGATATTTATTTATTTGGTAATGGAAAGACATACTTTGTTACGGTATTGTATATGTTTAGATTGGTTTCAAGAGCCGAGCCCGTCTTGCATGTACGGTTGTTCGCATCGTTTCTAAGTTTTCTTATGATTTGAAGTGAGCTTACATGGTTCTCCTAGAAGTGATAGTCTATGTGCTCACCAAATTCCCATATGCCCAATAACCCCCAATGGCCATGGGAAACAAACAGCCAGCTATGATTAGATATGAAAACTTCACTCCTTTCCACATTTGTACCCTTGATGGATTCCTAGTTGATGAAGGCATTGTCCCCTGCAGACATGAAAACCCAAACTCACACTTTTATTCTATTCCTTTTTTTTTTTTTTTTTTTTTTTTTTTTTTTCTTTTTTTTTTTTTTTTTTTTATTGTTATTATCATCATTATTATTTTTTGGTATAGAATATAGCTAATAAACAATTAAAATAAATCAAAATCTTGTTTTCCTTGACTACCTGAATCTCCAAGACAAGATTGTGGCCCCTGAAGGCAAACACAATGATTCCAATTGCATTCAATGTGCTGCAAATATTCTCAACATCCGATTTTGTCCTCATGGGCCCGTATGATAAATTAACGGGCCTGGTTTTGGAAACGGACAGCGTCCATGTCAGGGTACAGTATGTAACGGCAGTGACTGCACCAATCAGAGAAACTCCGGCGATGGAATTCAGGTTAGGAAGCTGAGATAATATGACTGCTGAGCACACGAAGACTATGTACCACTCGACAGTCGACACTGAATAGGCACTGCAGGTTGTACCGCAGACCGTGTGGAAGAATATTTTCAACGTGCTTCCCCCCATCATTATGAGGCTAACGCACGTTCCGCCTGCTAGGTATAGAGTTGGAAACAGGGCCAAAACCTTGCCAAGCTTTTTTCCTGGGAAAAACAAATAAACCTAAATTTATCATGGAGAAAGATGGGATTAATATATAGGTCATGTGAATATTTCTTATTGAATTTGCAGTTTAGCTGATCTTAATATCAGTACACGAAGCTAAATAGTCGATAGTCAGTATAACAGGATAATTAGTTGATTACCAAAAGCAGCCATTGCAAGCCTCAGGTATCGGCTGTAGCGCGTTCCAGGCACGGACTCATGGAGCTGGATTAGCAACCACAAAGTGTACAACTGCCATACAAAAGCCAAAGACAGGCTTATAGTCCCCCATACCCTGAATAAACTAGCAAATTAATTAGCCAAACAAGCCTATAAATAATTCTTTTTTTTAAGACCCAAAAAAAAAAAAAATGACTCACCAACCAAGAGTTGTAAATGCAAGAGGAAGAAGGAGGGCCTGGAATCCGATTCCAGACCTGAGTGTATGAAATGCAGAGTAATATGCATTTCCATTCCGGGATTCAGTTATGGGCAGCCATGAATCCTGCAGGTCGAGCTTCGTGAGATGCCCAACTTCTTCGAGGTAAGTTTGCATGCTCGTCAAGGCTCTTTTCATCGGGCTGGCTAAAGGGGCTATCGCGCGGTCGGCCGTGCTTGAAAACGGGCTTTCGGGGGTCTTCGGGAGGGAGTTGGGACACGGTGATGAGGCTGACTTGTGTGAGTCTAATTGTGGGTTTATGAGTGCTGGACTCTGTACTTCCATAAGCTCGTTCATTATTGCAAACCAAAATAAGATTAACACACACACACACTGACTGTATTATATTGAGGTTTATATAGATGTTATAATTTTTTTTTTTTTTTTTTTTTTTTTTTTTTTTTTTTTTTTTTTTTTTTTTTTTTTTTTTTTTTTTTTCTATTTATTTAGTTTTAAACTTTTTGGCGGCGAGTGACGAGTGCAGGAGGTTAGGGTGGCTGCTTTATGTAATGTTTGCGTGGAAAGTGATTATTCGTGTGGAACAAGGACAAAGTAGAGAGGGCCACACTTGTTTAGGCATTATGCCTTGTCTTTCTTCTATTTCTCTTCACAACTAACATAAAGATGTGTAAAATTATTTAGTGTAGCATTTAGCAAACACACATGTAATGATAAACTAATTAGTGGCTTGTTGATCAACTATGTTATTATTGACTTGAAAAGTAAGATCAAAATGCACATACATCAAGATTTCATTTTAGTACACCAAGTGTGGTCCTATTACAGAAAATTGGTGCAATCAATTCCACATACTATTTGTTGAGTAGTATAATGAAAACATGACTTCGTACGGACTTATTTTCATTTAAAATGAGAACTAGTACAACACTCGTTTATTACACTGGTGCTTGTTAAAAAATTATTTTAAAATTTTAAAATTAATGAAAAAGATTATTTTAATTTCTTTTTACTTTTTTTTACATATTATTATATATTTTAGAATGACACTTGTTACTTGTGCGACTTACATGTGTTATATTATAGTAATTTTTATAACTTAATTTCATATATAATTACTTGAAATATAAATAAATTAAATGATAAATAATTTTATTTTTTTTAACTAATATTAAAAACAATATAATGAATTTTATATCAACCTCGTGATTAATATCATTTTTTTTTTCGACAGTCATTTATTAAGTTTAATGTGCGCCAAATTGATATACATTCTTAGGACAATGACCAACTTGTTGTACATAACATGGCATTTTTTAATATTTACATACTAAAAAAATAGTGAATTAACTAATAATTTTATTAAAATAATGTTATTGATAATCATGATAATTTTCTAAAAACTAAAAGAATATAAGCATACTAATCAAATTTTAATTATTATAAAAAATAGCATTTCTATATATGTTGATCATAACAATTAATAGCATACATCAGTCTTTCATTCAGACTATTCAACATAAATAAAAAATAATGCTTTCTTATGTCAAACCTTTTGTTTCGAAGAGAAGTGCAGGGAAATTTCTCACAGCCCTTTTAGCAATGATCTGGGGACAAGAATATTATACATTGAAAATGGCATCACTAGCGAGAAATTTCGTGTTATGCCGCAAACACTATTGACTTCCAATAATTCACTAATTAGGTAGACCGTGGGTGGTTACGGTAAAACATGTCTTCCGTGAAGCGAATTTTGCGGCCAATTTCCTGGCCTCCTTCGCGGCGGAAGGCCCTTTGGGTTACCAGTTCTTTCAGGATCCGGTACCGGAGGGGATTCGTCATTGGTTACACCATGATTTAGTTGGCGTGGCCTATCCACGATCCATTTGCAATCTAGTTTTCTAGGCGTGTAGCCTCATCCATTGTACAAAAAAAAAAAAAAAAAAAGCGTTTGGCAAGTCACTTTGAACTGTTTCACTAGTGATGTACGTAGTAGTGACTCAAGGCACACCCATATTTCGTGATTATTAATGCGTGTAAGTGACTAAATATAGTGGTTATGCTATAAGATTGTCCTTCAAAATTGCAAGACAACCTTAAATTTGGAATTGAAGTTTTAAATTTTGAAAGAGGATGTCATGGGAGATGGTCCATGGTGACTCTGCTTCTTTCAGCATCTTTCCAATGGGTGGGAGTGGTGTACAATTTTGGTTCCGAGTTCTTAAGATTCTTGACGCGTTTGTGAACCATCTTGTCGACTTTCTTTCTCGAGGCCATCTGCTTGTGATCTCCTAATGGAGGACTCAAGCTCTTGAACTGATTCCTTTGTTTTGTTCGGAGGGGCTGAATGTATGTTTTGTTGAAATGGAGAGAAATATGTTAAATTTGTTTTGAGGCCATCTTCTTGACACCACCTGTTTATATAGGGCATACATAGATAGTGATAGTACAAAACACAATGAATCATCATAACTGTAAAATTGAAATTACGAAAGGCCATTATACTAAACCAGCTTACTAATGAAGGTCAAGATTCTTGATACTTTAAGATAAGTGTACAGAGTGTCAGCATGATCTGCTGATCGAATATTTGTGTCTTCATTTGTTTGAGATTAGGGGGCACAGTATTTGCAAAATTTATGTTCGACTTCAAAGCGACGAGCAGACATCTCAGGTGGAAAAGATTCCTTTTGTATTTCATTTCAAGATTTTCCTTTATATAGATGGTTGCCATAGGATGGCCTTAGACCCGTAGTTTGAAGGTCTTCAAAGCGTTCTTCGGGTATCATGGCCAGGAGGGCTAGAACGGTAGTTGCAGCTCTCGAGAAAATTGGAAATGGATCTTGATTAGAACTTGGAAATGTCTTGATGATGAGAAACTCACCGCCATTGATGACTAAGGGCTGTGGAGCTCGAGCTCGGGCAATAGTAAGTACGGTCCAACCATACCATAATAAATTCGTACTTATCTAAATTGCTTTAGCCATAAGCAAGGCTGATTTCAAAGAGATTTGATAGGAGGAGTGATGGTGTTAAAGTGTCAGCATGATGAGTTAAATCTAAGATTTCCTTAATTCCATTCGTATCAAGTTTAGGGAGCATGGGATTCCTTCACCCATTCAGTATCCAGCAGTGACGAGATAGTCTACGTACAATAGATTCCTTTTGTTTTTATCTCTCGACTAATTCTTTGTATAGAATGGTACCCCTAAGAGATGGCTTCAAGCCCAGATCATCTTCTCTCCAGGTAAATGTTGTACTTTCAACATTTGAAAACATAAGGGATCTTATATTCTCTAAGAGAAAAGCATAACAAGTATCTAGAATCTTCCAATGAAAGATATGTTTTGAACTTCTAGGCAAGTAACTCAAACTTAATTTCATCTTTAATCCTTCAACTAATATACAGTATGTTCATTTGCAAACAATGTTTTTGTATTGTCTATATGTTTTTGTGTTGCTTATATGATTTTATACTTTTTCCCTTTACTGAGATGAAAAAATTCTTTGTGTATAATTATGTACTGAATACTTTTGGAAGAAATTCTCTGTGTACTTCTTTATGTTTTCACAAAAAGTTTCCATCCAACTTACAACATTTTTTCGGACTGCCCCTCCATGGTGTTATTATTAAGTCGAAGCGACTTAATCGCTTTATGCAATTGGAATACACATGAGTGCGTGGGAGAGTAAGAGAGTCTCGAACATTTGAGAATTGTGATATATTAGTGTAATTTAAAATTGAAACAACGAGATGCACCAAATATGTGTAGAAAATAGTTGTATTGTATCATTGTTTTTGTAGCATTTGCAATATTACAGAAACTGTATGGGTGTTTCTAAAATTACAAAAGTTAGCTCAAAAACAAAAAGAAATCTAATGGCTGAGGACATTAAGAAGGGAGACTCTAGTTTTCATTAAACTTCCGAACAAGGCTTCCAAGCACTCTCCAATTTCTTGAATGCTCATTTCTGATGCTTTTAACTGCTTCATCATGGTTTTGCTGTCTGTGTTCTTTAGTGACTTGTGGATGTTTAATGCACACAAATCATCGGTTTCACTTTCTTGCTTTATCACAGAATGTACGCGTCCGGTTTGGGTTATCTTCGAAAGCAATGCCGACCAGCTTTTCTCGCCTGGTGACTCGTTTTGCCCGGACAAGACAATCAATAAAGACTTTAGGATTGAAAAATCAAGGGACTCTGCTTCTTTTAGCATTGTCCCAATGGGAGAGAGTGTTGTAGTGTTTTTGTTGGAAGCCTTCAAGTTCTTGATGCATTTTTTCACCATCTTGTTGATCTTCTTTCTCGATGCCAAATAAGCACTAATGTCAGCTGATGACTCTGTCTCGACTTTGTTCCTCCTGAAGGCGGACCCAAGATCTTGAACAGATTCCTTGGTTAATTGCACAATGTCTCTAGAAAGAGCACAGAGGTCAACTAGCATTAGAGATCCATCAAGCAACTCGTTTATCAAATTTTGACCTTCGTCACCAATGAGCGCTTGTTGGGCCGAAGGCATCTGAATAATATTATTGATGCTATCATGTAAGTCTTTAAGGCTAGCCAAGTTTGCACAGATTGAAGATGTTGATGTAGCTTGTGAGGCTTTTAGCCTCTCCAAATGATCTTCGACATCGTTTACTTTTGGGTGAGATTGTGATGGGAAACTCTTTGATCGAACGTGGAAAGAAGCCATTTGGAGCTGAATCGAGTTTTTTTTTGGAATGAAGAGAAGATAGTCAAAGTTGGTTGAGGCCATCTTTGTTCAGACCTCCTATTTATATAGGCATGTTGGAGGTAGTAGAAAACATTATTAAGGAATCATCATTACTGTAACTTGAAATAAAATATTACGGTGCATGTGTTCTATGTCCCCCGAATCATTAACAGTTTAATTTGACAAAAGTTAAATCATTCAAATCCCATCATCAAACTGTCTGAAGATTAGCGACCTCCTGTCCGAATCTCACCCAACAATCAATGATATCGAAAATCATTTGGAGAGGCTAAAGGCTTCACAAGCCACATCAACATCTTCAATCTGTGCAAACATAGCAAGCCTTACAGACTTGCAAGATAGAATCACTAATATGATCCAGATGCCTTATGTCCAGCAAGCCCTCGTTCGTGAACAGGCTCAAAACCGGTAAAATGAGTTGCTTGAGGGATCCTTAAGGCTAGTCGACCGGTTTTCAAGGGACTTTGTGCAATTAACAAAGGAATCGGTTCAAGAGCTTGAATCCTCTATCACGAGACAAGCAGCTGATGATGTCACTGCTTACGTGTCATCAAGAAAGAAAGTCAACAGCATGGTCAACAAATACATCGTCAAGAATTCGAAGACCTTTAACCAAAATGCTTCACCACTCACAGACATTGGTAAAATGTTGAAAGAGCCGGCAGAGTCAATTGGTGTATCAGTCCTGAGGTCTGTATTGACAGTCTTGTCCAGTCAAAAGCAAAACTCGAGCAAGAAAAGTTGGTCAAGTTTTCTTACCAAGTTGACCGAGACCAGTCGCATACATTCCGAAACGAAGCAAGAAAGTGAAGCCGAGGAATTGCGCTGAACATTCACAATCATACAAACTGTATACTTACTTCTGTAAATGACATTGAGAAACGTAAAGATGCTCAGTTTTAAATTCTACGACTATTTTGTGCAGAAAACCGCTCTGTCCGAACTCTTCGCTACGTTTCTATCTTAAATCACCGATCTTTTTTAAGAGTTCGTTTTTCACTGTGGAACGGTCGAACGGATGAAGTTTTACATCATGCTGATGCAAAGATGTTGTGATTACAAATCAATGATCATTAAGAGCTAGGCTGTCAAAGTTCCACTTGTTCATTAATTAATCATTCATGATCTAAAATTATCACAATTCATTCACATGCATATATGCAGGATTATTTTACTCCTGGATAACTACTCTGAAATTTGTAATTATTATCAAACCAAATCATGTTTCTTAATGATACACACTCTTCTTATATCCGTTGTCATGTTTTTCAATGTCTGAAGATATATAATAAGTCGAACTGAAATAAGTAGTTGTTCTGCACGAGTTCCATGTCCCCTGCAGGCTCTTTAGCAATGTGATCGAAAAGTACGATCAGGCGTATCTTAGCTACGATATTATTGATCATGATCAAGCATAAGGAATCTTGACAGCATGTGAAATTGATTTAATGAATATAATTAAGATTATTTTTCTAGGGAGTAACATAAAGTAATCACTAATTTCTTATTGCAATTGAATGTTAAGTTAGTGATCATTCAGCTTTCTTCAAGAAGGATAACTGTGTATTACTAAGGCGACGAATATTTAAGTCCATTTGGTTACAATTACCAATCAAGGAGAACCAACTGCATGGACAAAATTATTATTGATCATTACAAATTTTGGAGTTCTTAGTGTACTTAATTCCATCGTGTTTTAGTTAATTCCATCAAGGCCGCTGCTCAATTTAAGAATCTTGCGTCTGTAAGAAAAAGAAAAAGGGCACCGGTGGTGGCGGTAGTGGTGCGGTGGTGGTCCAAAAAACCATCTCACCGTATGATATCACGTCTCCTGACAATCCGGGCAATCTATCGCCGAGGTATTGCTTAAGGGCGACTCCAATTACAATGAATGGTCACGGAGTCTTTGGATTGCTCGTCGGGTTTCAAAAAAGTTTAGTTTCCTTAAAAGATAAATCCTATCAATTATGGATTAATAATAAATCATAACCATAGTAACAGAAAAGATGACTTTCATCAAAATGCATATCCGTTCATTTAAAATATAGATCTTAATAATTTAATTTTTAGCAGAAGTAATATATCATTGTTAATAACATTACTTGAAAAATTATGAGTGAACTGTTGATCTTTTCATCTCCAAGTTGTACGTAATTTGCCAAAGATTCCTAATCAAATCACAAATCCCACAATGGGAGGAGGTGATCAACATGCTCGATTAAGTAACAGAAAAGAAAAAAGGAGGAAAGACGCAATGTAGAACAAGGATTGATTGAACAAGGAGCAATGCAGTTTTGGTATGCATCATCTTGTAAATGATGAGTCAAGTGCAGCTGTTGGGCCGGATTCCTACTTTCTCTCTGCCGACATCAAACACCACCTCGAATGTCCTCTGTTGAGTGGTTCCGAATATAGCATAATCGGTGGGGTCAGTGTTTGCGACAAAAGTAAGGCAGGATTGATCTGAGTTTATGGCATAAAGTGTTCTAGTAACATCCAGATCGACCTTAACGTTACCCCTAAAAGTGAAGGACACTGTAGGGGCAGTGATGTTGCCATGTCCCGTGGTAAGAAAACAAGTATCCAGGATAGCTTCAGAACCATGAAACGCTGGTGCTACCCTGTAGCCGTGGTATTTCATCTGCCGCTTAAACTCGAGGCTCAGTGCCTTGTATGCTTCCGGCTGCAGGTGGGTGTAGGTATTGTCTGAAGTTATTTTGGTGTTGCCGGACTGGCCGAAAACCGTTGGGCATATGTTTAGGTTACGGCCGCCGACCGCTATGGATATAATGTCGACAAAGTAGTTTGCGGGGTGGTCTGTATTAGTAATTAAAGGGGTGAATTTGGTAAGGTTGTCATGTGCAGTATCTTTTCCGAATGCTAGATAACCATCGGAGGATCCGGTTGAGGGCAGGCAGAGGGAGAAACGACCAGCGTACGTAGTGGCAGTTTGGTGAACAAAAGAGATGTTGTTTCCTCTGCCGAGGGACAAAATTCCAGCTTCAAGGCCACCGACTCGTGTGAATTGGCTGCAACCAAAGACGACATCCGCGAAAGTCTGCCAAGGGGCTATGGTAAGTTTGTCTTTGCTCAATGATCCCTTGTTGTAGGTACTGTTGTAGATGCAGGTGCCGGTTGGGGAGGAGATAGTTTGATATTCGGTACTGAGCATTGAGCATTGAGAGGAATTGTAGGGGATGGCGGAATACGAAGTGGATTTTTTAGGGTCGAATATTGTGCCGTGTTGTGGGCGGCAGGGTTGGCAGGGTTGGCATTGGAGAAACGACAGGTCTATGTCAATGCTGATATAGAGAGTGACTTTGGTCTCTGGTGTGCCCAGTCCCATTGTCACCATGAATTCCCCCCAACTCCCAGATCGACCGGGAATGTGGTGAGCTTCACCAGATTTTCTCTGCAGCTCGCCGCGTGGACCGTCCCTGTGGAATACTTGTACGACTGTTTTTGATCTGCTGCTCTCCACATCTGATTACCAACAAGTTCATTCAAATAATGTACTACCTTTTAACAGTTTTTAGAACATCTAATTGTTGAATAAAAGATGGGAAAGTAGAGGTTGAGGCACAAAAAAAGGTACCTGAATGTGAAGTGGTGTTGATGGTTTGAAAATTAGTTACAATAGACCGACTCTCACCTGCAGAAGAACATGATACCAAAATTATTATCAATAAAAGACACAAATCAAGAAGAGACTTGATCGAGGGCAAGATTGAATGCTGGGAAGTTGCCATAAGTTGATGATGTGCTATATTTTCTAAATGGCTATTGGAGATATGTTACTGCAAGTAATATTAATGATTTATATAGAAGACAAAAATGAAGCACGAATTTGTATCCCAATGAAAAAGTTACAACTTAAATAAAAGAAAAAATAAAAAAATCCACATTTGTTTTCACATCATTATATCTGCATTTTTTATAATTAAAAAAAGTTGTGAAATTAATATTATATTATTTATAAAAGTCATTCGTCTTCACATCATTATATCTGCATTTTTTATAATTAAAAAAAAGTTGTGAAATTAATATTATATTATTTATAAAAGTCATTCGTCTTTACATCATTATATCTACATTTTTTATAATTAAAAAAAGTTGTGAAATTAATATTATATTATTTATAAAAGTCATTCGTCTTTACATTATATCTGTATTTTTTATAATTAAAAAAAGTTGTGAAATTAATATTATATTATTTATAAAAGTCATTCGTCTTTACATCATTATATCTGCATTTTTTATAATTAAAAAAAGTTGTGAAATTAATATTATATTATCTATCTATCTATATCTATATCTATATCTATATCTATACTACTATAAAAGGACGAGTGATTTTGTAAAAATATGAACTGTCTAAAAGACTCTTACTTTGACATATATTTAATGGCGAATTAGTAATAGAGTAATATTCAACTTATAATATATTTTAAATCAACATATATTTAAATAACACTAGTAAAGTGCACGTGCAATGCACGTGGTGACAAATATTTTTGGCCAATAAGATAAATTAATTAATTTATTAAATATATGATTGCAAGCACAAACTGAAATATAGAACAAATAAACTCTTAATATAAATTTTTTGTTAAAAACAACATAATGATGTCGTAACATAAAAGGATTTAAATAACATGTTACAAACTCAAACAAAAATATATAAGAAAATAAGTCCCTAATAATAATAATAAAAAATAAATAAGGATCTAATGTATATTATAGATGCATGAGTTATTTTATCTATTTATAATGTTCGAGAGTCATTTTTTTTTTCATTTTAGTTTTGAGTTCTCATAAGAAACATTCATACTCATTGGGGTCCAATACATCAATAGTATTGCAAAATTATTCTTAATTAATTAGTAAAACGTCTACTTTATTCAACACTTATAAATACTTTAGCCAAACATATAGTCAAACTTCATAATTGAAAGATCATTATAAGGTATTTCAACTAACATTTCATAATTATCTATGTGAAATAACCAACCGTGTCATTGAAATTCGTGATTTTTTTATCATTGTATAAACTACTACATTACTCTCTCTCTTTCTCTTTCTCTTTCTCTCTCCCCATATAGACAAATTGATATCTATCATATAGAGTGAGAACGAATTTTATTTCTAAATAAAAGTTGATTTTTCAAAATCATGTACTTCTTTGAAAAGATGTTAAACTATTTTTATTATCATCATATTACATGAAGTACATACTCTAAAGTAATTGCGCATATTCTCGAGCACAATACACAATTAAGATTGTAAATGTTCCTATTAAAAAGTGACAACTTACTCAAACATTCAAAAACATTTTGATCAGAATCGAACATTCTCTTTTTAGTGTTATTTATTTAGAAGATTGACAAACTACATACCCTATTGTTTGCAAATCATTAACTATTTTGGTTGTTGCAATGATTTCAAAGTTATTTGTCTTAATACTTTTCCCAATCAATCGAATTTGTAATATTGAGAAGCATATCACTTTGTCAAAATATTTCAGATGAAAAAAATTTGAATTATATTATATTATGATACTCTTAGTCATATGAAGTTTATTATTATGACGTCATTATTAAAGTTTGTGGTCCATATTATGATTATATGGAATCATTATTTATGATTACCAATTTCTTATAGAGAAAATAATTTAAATGCTAGCTAAAAAAAGTAGTAACTATAAATAAAAAATTTTTGTTTCTTGATATTGGTATTCATGGTACTCATACTTTTCTAAGAAAATTCAAACTTTTTTCTTTCCCATTTGCATTAACATTCTATTTATATGCATTGTTTTTTTT